AAGGAGCTAGCTTTCGTGATAACCCCCACTATCACACTGTACGTATTCAGTGGAGTCATTTCCCCATCCATGTCCATGATTCTCTGGCCGTCACTCCTGGTTACGGGGCCACGGAGGACTGAACCTGAATGTGTTGCGTATGAGGTGACACATATATCCTCATGGCGCCCGGTCTGAAATCCTGAAGCATGAAGCACCTCCTTCAGCCACGAAATCCTGCACGCACGACATTTCCGGGATTCCAGCCTCTTTGATTTGGAGCTGCACTTATTTGGACCCTGGCCTTACTGTTCTCACGTACCTTCACAAGAATCTCGATCACATAGACCGTCATTTATAGGTAGTCTGCCACATAAGCAGGGCCAGCTACCGACTGGCTGTGCGGATTTCCGTCAGTCAGGGCATCCACAAGGTTGGTGTTGACTGCAAAGCCGTGCTGTGGGAGTATGCAAGGCTGCTAATCTGGAAGGAAGGTTTACTCCCAGGCCAGTTCGTAATGTTCTTGCAACTTTCTTGGCACTGCAATTATCTGATCGCAGTACACCCAAAGCCTCGCAACCCCCTAGATTTCCGCACATAGTCCGTAGTCCTCCACAAGTGCATAGAACAGTGGCGATGTTGGCAAGGCTGGCTCGGGGCTGGGATGGGTTGTCGCAACTGTGAGCTTCCCAGGACCAGCGTCCCTGAACGCACCGCTCATTCCAAGCGTGGAGGGTGGCGAGTGGTTACGAGTGGTCAATCTTGCTGAGGTTCATGGTCTTAGTGTGAATCTTGTCGTTTTATGGTGCTCACAGATTCTTCAGGGCTAAGCCTCAGCCTTCAGGGTTGACCTTCAGTAGTACGAGTGTCTCTTGCCAAAGCAAGGCATCTCTTCCGGATTGGCTTTGACGGCCCGTGAACGCCACCTCCCTTTGTAGGAGCTCCATAGGGGGAGATTTGCTACTTGTTGGAGGCGAATAGCCCGATCACCCCAACTGGAAACACCAAACTGGACGCCCGACACGAATCCTGCTTCCGACCAACTTGTCAACACACAGAGCTGTAGCCCGGCCTTCTTGGCGAGGGGAATCTGGTGGGCCCCAGCCCAGAGCTCAAGCTCCGCCTGCAAGTCGGCCTGCACAACGACTGGCAAAACTTCGCAGCGCGGCTCTCTCACTGACTGAATCCGCGGCCTGCGAGGTTCTGCCGCGGAAATCGGTCGGCCTCGCGGTCAGCATGGTCTTGCTGAAAACAGGGCTCTGCAACCGGTAAGCCGACCTCTGCAAGAGCTCCATGACCTCCTGGCCAAATCTCAAACAAACGGAGACGGTCGACTTGCGGAGCCCGCCTGCGACCAGCGCTGGCCGCCTCGCTGGCCCAGCGATCCCTGCCCAAAGACACCTGCCGTGGTGAACCTCAGCGCTCCAAACTTCAAAGCGTGCGGGAAAATGCGACAGTCTTAGCCCCGGCCTCCTCTCGCGCACCATGCGCGGCCTCAGCATCATCACAGTCTCTAATATATTAACCATAGACTTTAGTAGAAGTGATACGTTTAGAGATATGCTTGGTTTTAATTCACAAGTCATTATATTTAATAAACCTCTTGCAGGAGGAAGTAGTAGTGTATTATATAAGAAAGGAGATAAACCAGCATCATAATCACTATATGTACCCTTTTCTGCCAGAAACCTCAGACTGGCTGGTCTCTGCCCGTAAACGTCATTTCCCGGAAGTATCCGGACATTCATGTGGAGAGGATGGATGGACGGACGGACAAACGGACAATGTGTTTCCATAACGAATAATGATGATACTTGTTTCTTTCCATCGCCGCAGAGATGATGACGATGATGGTGAATGATAGCAACTATTCATCGATCTCAGATGCTAACAGAATGAAGAAGTGCCATACGGGAAAATCGGCAGGCCTCGCTGATCCTGCTGAGCCCCCTGCCCGGGATCGGCTTCAATGTCGTCTCGGCCTGCAGTTTCCGATCACATTTTTTACATGAATCCACATGGTTGCGCTAGGGCTGGACTTGAGAACCTTAGATGAGACATAGAAGGACTGACTCCCGGCCGTATTACACCGCGCAAAAATCAGACCCTCGTGCCTCCTGCAATCCCCGTCGAAAGCCCGGTGCATCAACTGTCTCGTTTTGAGGCACTTCAGTTGGACCTTGAATATCGTTTTCCAACAAATTGGCAGTGACACAAACGAATGATTTTGTTGAGTTGTTAAACGAGACACGGTTGATCTGGCTGCAGGCGGTGTTACCCTCAAAGTCATGATACCCCCCGAACCCCTTTTTGCTGAAAATAGAGGCTTCTTCAGGGGGCGCAACGCGCCTTCTTCATCAGGAGGTGCGGGCCCCGCGGGCACATCCTCACCGACAGGACTGCAGTGGCTTTGTGCTGGGCAGGGGCTATTGTCGGTTTAAGGCAGCTGCGTGCGTGATGGCCCGCGTCCAAGGTTGTCTCCCCAGACGGGGAACTGCGCAATCAGGAAGGAGTGAAGTTCAGTTCGCTCAAGCTGCCATGGACCCTGCCTGAGGCCTCACTTTGCAGGGTCAAGCAAGAGCCCTCCTTGCTGAGATCCTGATCAAGTCTCTCAAAGAAGACGAAGGCACTGCCACCACAGGGCAGGTCATGATTCGAGAAGGGCGGTTACCAGCTCCTCAACCCTGGTGATCACGTGGCCACAGACAGTCCAGGTGCCCGAACCTGAATCAGACCGCAAGTCCAAAGGAAGCTCCGGCTCTGCAAGACCCTGCCTCTGATGAGCAGGTTCTCGCCATTCTGGTCCTGGCGCGCATTATGGCGCATCACTCTTGCAGGAACGCAGGCAGCAACGTGAAGGCAGAGCGCCGACCGGCCTTCGCCCATGCGCCGTGGCCATCGGTCATTACGAACTCGATGGCCTGCAGGCGGGGGGCATCGGTGCGATACACCTCTCACTCTCAGTCTGGCTGAGCCCCTTGCGGAGGCTGGCACATGAATGGCCCACCATCCATCCGCAGGGGGATACAGCGCCCAATCGCTCGGGGCCATCGCCTGCACACAGAGCTGCTCTGTGTACAAACATAGAAACTCACGCACAGCTGCCCCGCCTCGCCCGGCGCCGCTGTCCAGCCAGCACCCTGGCAACGCGAAGTGAGTTTGCGTAGAGAAAAAATCGACAAGGTTGCCGGTGCGGGCCTCCGCACTGTAGTGCAGGCGGGGTGCTGTCCACCCCGTCTGATAAAGCACGGTGATCGCCTGGCAACAGAAAAAGCGATTCAAGGGGTCCTGCTTCGTGGCACCCGGGGCTCACACTGCAGGCTCTGGTGGCTGCTGCAGCACCTGAACCTGCTGCTTCTCTTCCTCCACCTGCGGTTGGGATGGCATTGTGCTGGGCAGGGGCTGTTGTCGGTTTAAGGCAGCTGCGTACGTGATGGAGCCCTCCTTGCTGAGATCCTGATCAAGTCTCTCAAAGAAGACGAAGGCACTGCCACCACAGGGCAGGTCATGATTCGAGAAGGGCGGTTATCAGCTCCTCAACCCTGGTGATCATGTGGCCACAGACAGTCCAGGTGCCCGAACCTGAATCAGACCGCAAGTCCAAAGGAAGCTCCGGCTCTGCAAGACCCTGCCTCTGATGAGCAGGTTCTCGCCATTCTGGTCCTGGCGCGCATTATGGCGCATCACTCTTGCAGGAACGCAGGCAGCAATGTGAAGGCAGAGCGCCGACCGGCCTTCGCCCATGCGCCGTGGCCATCGGTCATTACGAACTCGATGGCCTGCAGGCGGGGGGTATCGGTGCGATACACCTCTCACTCTCAGTCTGGCTGAGCCCCTTGCGGAGGCTGGCACATGAATGGCCCACCATCCATCCGCATGGGGATACAGCGCCCAATCGCTCGGGGCCATCGCCTGCACACAGAGCTGCTCTGTGTACAAACATAGAAACTCACGCACAGCTGCCCCGCCTCGCCCGGCGCCGCTGTCCAGCCAGCACCCTGGCAACGTGAAGTGAGTTTGCGTAGAGAAAAAATCGACAAGGTTGCCGGTGCGGGCCTCCGCACTGTAGTGCAGGCGGGGTGCTGTCCACCCCGTCTGATAAAGCACGGTGATGGCCTGGCAAAAGAAAAAGCGATTCAAAGGGTCCTGCTTCGTGGCACCTGGGGCTTGCACCGCGGGCACTGGCGGCTGCTGCTGCACCTGCTGCTTCTCTTCCTCCACCTGCGGTCGGGACCAGGCGCGCTCAGCCTGCGTTGCGGCGTGCCCATCTTGTTTGTTAATGTTGTTAAAACCTTTCAATTTGCTTGGGGCCGGCGCTCCGGGCTCCGGCAGCAGCTGCTGCTTCTGTTCCGCCACCTGCGGTCGGGATGATGCCTGCTTACGTTCGTCAGTCTGGGTTTTGCCAGCGTGCTTACTGTGCTTGACAGCTTTGTTTCAACAATGACGTAGCTCTAGCACCACTGGCAGACATCGGAAGGAACATGTGCACACTGCCTGCGCAGTCCGCAGTGGCCGACTCAGGAACTTCACCGCGTTCTCCGCCCAAGGCTGATGACAAGCACGGCAAAGGGAACAACTGCTCAAGAGGCGCACGAGCACACGCGCCTGGTATTTCTTGGAGAGGCGAGCTAGCTGAGCGGCATGACACAAGACCGCTTGGCGCGCCTCACCAAGGAACTTGCCTAGCTTGCCTGTTTGCACACAGCATTTTGCAAGTCCGATGCAATGAGTCGGAGCGGCGAGCATGTTGGATGCCCGGCCTCCTCACCCTCCCTGGACTTCTCCAAGGGCGCCATCGCTGGCTAGCTGAATCGAAAAAAGATGTCTAGATATGTCTACAGGTTTAGTCAAGAATCCTGTGAGGGCTGCACTTCTGAGGATCTGCCAGAGACGCGCCGAATGTTGTTATGCAGCACACTACTCATGTCGGGGCTCCAGTTCATGGCCAAAGCTGGCTCCGTCCTTGCAAACAAGCTGATGCCACGAGTAGCTCATGCTTAGATGGCTTTCTGCAAAGGCTTCCAAAACAAAATGACGGAGATTGGAAGCCGAAGGCGGCTGCGTCTCAGGTTCGTTGACGCACGGGCTTGTGAAATAACAGCCTCACAAGTGTCTCCCTCCACAGACAGCCTGATCTTGTCATTCATTGTTTTCATGGCACGGGGCGTGCTGTACAAGGCTCATATCCCTTGGAGAACTAAATTCTACGCTGGCAAGTCTGGCAACTGCTGCATGCCAGTTTCAGTATCCACAGCATCGCATGTCCAGTACTCGCAGTCTTGGCTGCCTTGGCGCATCACAGCAACGCTCACCAGCCGCATGAAGCAACGTGAGCATCATGCAGGGCTTCGCAGGTGCGATGCAAGCCAGGCAGCTGCTTCGCAGTCCCCGAAAAGTCCGTGGCCTACCACTTGGATGGGGGGTTGTTCAATTATTCCCTTTCCCGGACATGCGTCTTTCTCGTACCCTTTCGAGAAACCATAAATCATAAATCCAACAATTTACTAAGTGATGCATGCTCTATATAGTAAACCGCAATGACCCACCCAACGTTTCCTTAACATACTAGCAAAGCCTGCTAACTTGGACCACAGCTAAAAACCTTCGGCATTTAGATGCAAAGCTGCCTTCAGCCGAGCTCTTCTGGCCTCGCAAACAGAATTACACACAGGCCGGTTAGCTGTCAGAATGAAATACACCAGGGATTCCCCGAAATGTTGAGCTTGGATGCCCGGCCTCCACTCCTCTGAGGGCCTTCCGAAGAATTCGCCAGCAGCACCATGGCCCCGCTCGGCCCACTCCTAAGACGAAGAAACGGCTTCGCGTAGAACATAATGCGTGCTGCAGGATACCCCAAGTTCTGTTTACCGCCGCACTGCTTTTGGTTTGGCATGCTACTTCACTGACATTATGGAGCCTTGCAACCGCTACGGACATCATGGGATGACACTTGCTGCTCAGCCTGCTGAGCTGCTGCCCTAGCTTCGCAGAACTGCAGAACTGACCCTCCTTTGCCAAGTTTTCGCAAGGGGCCTTAGGCCGCGGAATCGATGTAGAGTTGGAAAAGCCCTCCATGACCCTGGCCGCCACCTTCTAGAGTCTGTGCCATGGATCGTGGAAGGGGACTCTTACCGCTGAGTGTGCAAGTATCGGGCACCCAAAATGCAATGCATCACAGAAGCAAGCAAGCTCTCCGGCACCTGCGGTTGCCGTGGGTTTATGTTGTCCATTCCCTTTGGGGTCCCAAGAGCGGTCAAGCAACGGCTTGACAAGATCATCGACCTCTTTGGGTCGGCCGGCAGCTACTTCGTAAGCCTCCCTATAGGCCCTGGGCGTCATCTCGCACTGTCTCGCCCCATTATCCATGCGGCCACCTCGGCGCCAAGACAAAACTACTCCAGCCACCAAGGCTGCATGCGGGTGCAAGCAGGCTGCGCAGGTAATGTCGTCCTGCTTGCCACCGGTGCACAGCACTTTGCTGGCCTCACCAAAGCGCATCACGATCTCTGTAAGGCCCTAAGGATCCCTCCAGCCGGACTTCTGTGGCTACTGCCTTCTGCCGCTGCTCAGAGGATGGCGTCCTTGCATGCGCAAGCGGCCCAAGTATGCTCAAGCTTCAGTTTTGCCGGCTGCTGGGGGCTAGGCCTGGCGGCCCCGTCTTGCGACCTCGCGCAGCTCGCCTGCAGTGAGAGGGCCATGCGGTGCGAAGGCTGGCAGATTTGACATGCATGTGCGATGCAGTGATGACGGCGTTGACGGGCCTTTGCGATGGCCTGGGCAATGTTCTCCTGACCCGCGCTTACCCTTCCAAGTTCGTCGCGCAATCGCACCTTCCATTTCACGCCCACAGTGAGTGCCGGGCCGGCTTGGTGAAGTGGCCTCGGCAGAGGTCCCACAGAGGCAAGCGGCAGAATATTGGCAGAATCTCAAATCCCTTTGTATTCGACTACAGCGAATGAGCGCTTGCTTACCCATGCGATTTGGGAAGGCGCTCTCCTGAGTTTCGAAAAGGAGGGCTGCGTTCGGGCATCGGGTTAGGATTGGCTTGCATGTTCCAGACCCCAAGGCGTCTTTGCCGCAGTCACCCCCCAGCCTGCTGAGGCTGCGATCAACTCTCGGTCTGGCTGAGCCCCTTGCGGAGGCTGGCACGTGGGCGCTCCACCACCCTTCGGCATGGGGATACTGTGCCCACTCGCTCGGGCACTTCGCCTGCACACACAGCTGCTCTGAGTACAAACACAGAAACTATCGCAAAGCCATGCAGAGCCGCCCCGCCTCGCCAGGCGCCGCTGTCCAGCCAGCACCCTGGCAACGCGAAGAGAGTTTGCGGAAGAAAAATCCGACAAGGTTGTCAGTGCGGGCCTCCACACCTGACAGAGCAGGGTGATACCCTGGCAACAGGAAAAGCAGGTCAAAAGGTCCTGCACCGCGGCACCCGGAGCTCGCACAGCGGGCTCTGACGGCTGCTGCTGCAGCTGCTTCTCTTCCTCCACTCGCGGTCGGGACAAGCCGCGCTCAGCCTGCGGTGAGGCATGCCCATCTTGTTTGTTGATGTTGTTAAAACGTGTCGTTTTGTTTGGGGCTGGCACTCTAAGCTTCAGCAGGAGCTGCTGTTCCACCACCTGTGGTCGGGCAGATGCCCGCTTATGTTCGTCAGTCTGGGTTTTGCAAGTGTGCTTACTCTGCTCAACAGCTTTGATTCAACAATGACCTCAGGTGTTCAGAAGATAGCTTGGACACAGCCGGCAGCCATGGGAAGGAACAGGAACATGGGCACCCTGCCTGCGCCGTCCGCGGTGGCCGACGCAGGAACTTCACGGCGTTCTCCCCCCAAGACTGATTACAAGCGCGGGAAACGGAAACACTGACTAAGAGGCACCAGCGCACGCGCCTGATGCGTCTTGGAAAGGCGAGCTAGCCGAGCTGCATGACACAGCAGCGCTCGGCTCGCCTCACTAACGAAATTGCCTAGCTGGTCTGTTTGCATGCCGGACTTTCCACGTCCAGTGCGCTGACTGCAGGAGGTTGGAGGTGTGAGCATGCTGGATGCCCGGCCTCCTCGCCCTCTGCAAACATCCGCCGCCACTGCGCCATGAAAGACTCTCGGGCGGTCATCCCGGTCACAATGAAAATTTTAACGGCTTCTGACTTTCAGTTCGACCACGCTGGCCAAATCTCAAGATTAGATCTAGCTAGGGTTTGCTTGGGAAGCCTGTGCTCGACGCAGCGGGCGTTAACTTGCCTCATAAGGCTGAGCTGCTGATCTGTCAGGGACTGCAACAGATGCCTGGCACAGGAGAATGCGATGGTTATCAAGTAGCGCATTACTTCTGTTTCTGTGCAGCTGGTCATAATCGAGGCTACCAGCATCTCCCCGAAAAGCTACGCAAGGCTACGAGATGCTATGAGTATCTCATGCTCAAATGGATCTCTGCAACAGCTGTAAGCCCAAAAGGACTGCGTGTCAGGTTCCTTCACGCGTAGGCGTAGGCTCCTTGATAGCCTTCATCTTGGCTCTGCCGATTTTCTCATGGACCGGGACATGCTGTACAAAGCTCATATCCCTGCAAAGAACTCAATCCCTCGCCAGCCTGCCAACAGCTGCATGTCAGTTTCAGGAGCCACAGCATCGCATGTTCAGTACTCCCAGTCTGATCTGCTGTGGCACATCTGAAGCTGGCCGCCATTGCACATCCCCCCGCATCACACGGCCAAGCTCGAATAGCAACACTCACCAGCCGCGCGCAGCGACATTAACGTCAGGGCGCCCACCTGAGAGCTCGTGTGCCAACAGCTTATATGAGCTGAAGCCTACTAAACTCCTATATCATCCCGCTTAATTACCCCTATAATACCCCCCTAATAATCCCATTAGGCCATATATCATATTACCCATGCCCCCAGTCTGCCAAAGAGACAGGCGCCCAGTCAACGCAAAGGATTTGACATCTGACAGTCACACAGACCATCTTCTGTGGCATAGGCTCTGCATCACTGGCTTGATAGTTTGCACAAACCAGGAAGAACAAAACGCGCGTACTACCATCATCTACCATATCGAGCCTCGCCATACAAAGAGCATGCTGACTCTCGCACCGCGCCTCGTTTTTCGTTTCCTCACATGACTGCTGATCATACAAGGCATTGAGCCCCGGGCCCCCCCTAGGTCCCAGGCCTGGAGTTCTTCACTTACAGATACCCAGATGCTCACTGAAACAAGATTGTGTAACGTTAATTAAGAGCTCGCGAAAGGCTTGTGGGCAGCTGCATGGAAGCCATGAAAGGGAGGAACCCCAGCAAGTTAGAGTCGGTACTATCCATCTTCTTGATATGACCAGACCCCTTGCTGCTTTGTAATCTAGTGTGTAGTCAAATCGATTCCTCGAAAGTGAACCAGCTCCAATGACGATTGTCATGGGCAGGGTGAAACGCTGCTGGTCAGGCCCGCAACTTCGTTGCCGGCAGTCTAAGCTCCCAGCTATGTGTTTTCTGGGACATGACGCATCTTAGCAAACTGCAAACCAAGCTGCCATGTTGTGTTGCTCATCTTTGCTCAGGAAACGGTAGGTTCAGATTCTCAGCTCCAAAGCCAAGACCCCCTTCTCTACCGCTGTATGGAGAGATTCCTACTCCACTCTAATAGCTCTTCTTGAAGGAACCCCCAGACAGGGTCCAGTGACAATGTTGGAAGAAGCCAGGAGCGCATGGGCTTCTCACAGGCTCTTCAGCCGCTGGTGCTTTGCCGCGTGCCTGCCTCGTACCTGTGGCAATCATAAAGGATATCAACCCAAAACTTGCCCTCAAATGCGAGTAGATCCAGAAAAGGGCCTCCTGCTGTTGCACTTTTGGATGAGTGCAAGCCAAATCAACAAGGGGGGATTGCAAGGGAGTAATTCGCCTTGGCTGGTCCAGCCTCAGGGCGTCTGGAACCCTCTGATCGCCCTCTACTCCCTCCTCCCGTGGTGAGCGACCCGGCCCATCAAGCCCCGGAGCAACCCCAATTCCAGGACTTCCAAGGCTTTGAGAGCTTGGGAAAGCCCCTCCCCTGACCCCATGCTACACAGCAATGAAACACTGGCAGTTGCTTTGCCATTGCCTTATGGCTTGCTGCGGGTGGGTCATTTCTGCATCCCAAATCCAGCCAGGATCTTACCCGAATACCTCTGGAAGTACAAAGCTCTCTGAGAGCTCTGCTGCCCCAATGATACGCTTACCTTTGGTTAGCTAGGAATGAAGGAATGGATCAATAAATTTGTCCCCATATAACCCATTCTAGTAGTTTCCGTTTCTGTTCCATTCCGTCATTCCCAGCTAACCAGAGGTAAGTATGTGACTGTACAAACCTCAGAAGCATCTCTTTCCTTCCGGGCATAGGAGTGCTGGTCAAAGGAGCCTTGCATGAGTGCTTCAGAGGTGCTTTTTTTTGAAATTTGAAAGGTCTGCACCCCAACAGCCACGGGGGGGTGCGATAGCATGTACAAGTACTCAGGCTTCTGCTTTCTGAGATTGCACCACTGCAACGGCCCTCCAGCCAAGCTCAGTCGTGGACCCAATCTGCGCACTTGTCTACAAATGCTTAGTTGGGAAGGGGGGAAGGGATTCTATGAAATGTGGCATGGAGCATGTACAGCAGGGGCTACTGCAAGGGTCCCTGCCTTCCCCCCATTCCCAACTCGGCATGGATAAGGTCCAGAATCCCTGAAATGCACGGGGCACATGCCCTCCACTTCCCGGCCATCTGGAAAGTGTACAACTCCTGTGCCTGATGTCGTGGTGCATTTGGGTCACAGGGGCAGTCTAGCAATCTGATGAGACTTGAGCGAACCATGATGTAACTACTCTGTCACTTCGAATTCCCAGTCTCCGATAACCCGGACCCTGGGTGTCCCCGATTGGCAGTGTCCATCCCCCTGTGATTGATTCTAGCATAGCAATCTCCAACAGCACACCAAAGTAGTGAGGCAAAATGCTCCTGACTTTCGTCCCGCATCACCGAACAGTCAAACCAGCCCAGAATAGCAACATCAACTGCAACTGAGACAGGAATCCTAAAGTCGCACAGAAAGCAAAAAGGAAGCTGCAAACTCTAGCATACTATGATACCATGATTCCTGAGGTCCCAGGTATTTAGAGTCCACCTCAAGATACAGTATAGAATTGCCCAATATCACACTTAAAATCGCCGTATAGATAATTTCTATCTGCTTGTTGCTGTCTATAGGGTCATGCCTGCTAGCTGCCAAGCGTAAAGGCCGGTCCTTTAGCTTCAGCCCTAGAACCCAAACCATCCACGTGAGGTTAGGGAAGGTTTCTTTCACGGAAGATTATTTCCTTGCCATAAAGTACTATACCCAGAGTAAAGGAGGATGTAACCTTCTCCTCTAGTCATTGAGGCCTACAGACTATCGTATCCCTATTTCGAACGCTTCTCACAAGGGAGTTTTGCATAAACTCCCCTGAACAGGGGTCCATGCCTTCCTCATATATATGAAGGATCATTTGGAGCAACTCGCATCGCCAAGACGAGAAAAAATCTAGCCACAACCTAAGCCTGAAGGGATTCATGTAGGGACACTAGAGATAATGGAAAAGAAGATGGAAGCTACTATTTAGGGTTTAGGTCATTATAGGGGTGGTATGGGGGTTATATAGGCATAATGGAACCTTCAACCTTCAACCCTATAAACCTTACACCCTAAAAACTGAACCCAATCCCTCAACCCCAAGTCTCCGGCCGTGTTTCAAGTTGTTCTGATACTGGCCGATAAATTTCACGCCCGTGGGCCAGGAGTAGACCTCCACGGGATATTGCGGAAATCGAAAGAAAATCTACCCTACACTTCTTGGGGTTGTGTAGGGATGCCCAGGCGATTCCCAAAAAGGGATTGCAGGGAGAAACGGGCTCACAAGGGTGTATCATCCGACCCTGACTGACTCAAGCCCCCCACCCAGCAGCCGACATGCTGCTACGCCGTCTGCCCATGTTTTCGGTGTGGGGGCCTAGTTTTTGGCGTCGTGGCATTCAATAAGTACGCTGAACGCCGCATAAGCACAAGTGTTTGAGACTGAATAAATCATACGGTTGAGGGTTCCGGGGGTCCATGTTTGGCGAGGAGGATTTGCTGCAACACAGTTCCTCAGCGACGGTGACGTCAGCCTGCTGGACAATGACCAGCAAACATCTATGTGAGACAGTATGGATATTGTTGATGAAGCACGACGGAATTTCCAACCTGTGTTTGCCCCGCCCCCACTGAACACGCCCCATTCAGACTGCCAGTGGCCAGACTTGCCCGTACTGATCGTGCATTTTGACAAGACATGTTCGTGCGGGCGTGGAGCCTCTGTGTGTGTGTACGTATGCCTGCATGCATGCGTATATGTATTCGTAGATATGCGCGTATGCATGAATGTAGATAAACTGCATGTGTTCATGTATATATATATGTGTAAGTAAGCATTCATGCATGCATGCGTGCATATATACAATGATCCATATGCACATACGGCTACATATACGAATACATATACACACATATATGCATATATGTGTGTACATACATACATACATACATACATGCATGCATACATACATACATACATACATACTGAAAAAGTAAC